ACAAATGCACGAAAACATTCTCCACCACTTTGTCTGAATTATTTATCAACTCCAAATGTAACAATTGCTTCAGCTGTATTGGCTTCAGCAGCTGTACCTGGTTTAATTCATCCAGTTCATTTAATTGAGAAAATAGTGAATAGACATGGTCAAATAAGTTATCGTCCTTTACATGGTGAACGATTAAAATTTCGAGATGGAAGTTTTGAAAATGATATACCGTTAAATACCTTGTCAGAAGTATTTGGATGTAGTTATTTTTTAGTCAGTCAGACAAATCCACATATTATTCCTTTCTTTTTTAATGCTCGTGGACAAGGTGGCCTACCATCAGGTTGGCGTTTACGCGGAGGAGCATATCGCGGAGGATTTTTATTAGCAGCCATTGAATTACTTTTGAAAGAAGATATGAAAAAAAATTTACGAGTATTGGGAATGTTAGATTTATTACCTGCTGTTCTTGAACAAGATTGGTCTTTCTTATTTTTACAAGAATTTCAAGGTCAGATAACTATGGTACCACACGCACGACTAATTGACTATTTTCGGTTGATTAGTGATATTAAAGATATTAACGTGATTTCACACTATCTTCAAGAGGGAAAATTGACGGCTTGGAGAAAGTTTAGCATGATTAAAAACAGGGAGAAAATTAGATTAACGTTAGAAGATTGTATACAATTATTAGAAAATAAAATATAAGCAGAGAAAATATTTTACAACAGTATTTTGATAGCATATCAACAAGGGAGTAAGTTCTCTCATATTTTTCGACAGCGAGTGACATTTTTTTGACAGAAAAACTGAAATTTCTCAGAAAACGTTTTTATACAGCTTATCAGTCTCTTTTTGCTGCTATTTTTCGCTGAATTGTAAGAAAGAGAAGTTAAAAATACGTAATTCCTACGTAGGTATATGAAGAGTATCGAATATATGTTCTAACATTTTTTTTGTATAATTACATCACTCGTCACGTCTACTTTTACACCTGCACAGCACTGAAATGCCACATAGCAAATCTGGCCAATTTTCAACGAGATGGTTTACAAAGAAGTAGTATGGATATTCTAATTCATCTTTTCACTTAGAGTCCGAATCTGGTACAAAATCTTGTTTTCGAGACATGAGCTCAAAACTGTTTTAAAAAAGTGGAAATTACTAGTGTTACGCCATTTTTTTTCGTTCTGCTATATGGATATATCTTTTTCTTGCAATGTTTCTTTTGCGCGAGTGTTGTCAAAGAAGAAATTGAACGAAAGAAAATATAGGATTAGAGCCGTAGCAAATAAGTAATGTTAGGCTGCATTCACATTGTAGCTACGTCTTTGTTTCTTTCTTTTCTGTGCTTTAGACAAAAGGGAGAAAAATAGAAAAAATATACGACCGTAAAAAACAATTTCGTTCTCGTGTATGCATAACCGAAAAGAAAACAAGAAAAGACATTAGAGAAAAATTTGTTTCCATCGCGTGTAAATAAAGAAGGAGAACATTACGTATTCACGATGAAAAACGTTTCAGTAATTTTTTTCGCATCTGTTGGCCTCGCGTCCTTGACCCATGGAGTATTTTTCATTAGTCAGACAGAATATGAGAACAGGGACATAATATCCTTAGAGAACTAAAACAAAAATAACTGAACGAAAGGAGAATGGAACACATGGGTTTCCGAGGACTTCAGCTATACAATATATGCGTTTTTAAGAAGCAAATAATTCTTCTTAAAAGAATTGAACAAAAAACGAAGAAATAAATTGGAAATTTCGAAAGAAAAAGGAGCATTTTTAGAACATAAACGTTGCCGTCTAAATATTCTAGTACCAAATCAAAAATTGTGAAACAGGGATGAAATATCTAGTTCAACCTTTTAAGTTTCTATAAAACAAATTCCACTATATATTCAAGACCGCCGTACCGTTTAATTGACTTAATATCTTTACATAGCCAACAAATGTGTGAAAACAAACACAGAAATGCTCAAAACAAGGACACAAAGAGAAAAAAGTCTGTTCCGATGCTAAAGTAGTGCTCAAAGTTAATATATGGACGGAATTTTTACCGAAAATTTTACTCTCACACCTACTTGAAAGTCATACAGTCGCACAGATCAGCTTATTTCCAGTATTTTGGCGAAAAATTATCTCATTCAATTTTTCAAATGAAATTTTCGATTTCTGATCGTTTCGCCTGCAATTGGTATGTGCACGTGAAACCAGTGCAGGCGAAATGATCTGAAATGGAAAATTTCATTTGAAAAACTGAATGAGATAATTTTTCGCCAAAATACTGGAAATAAGCTGATCTGTGCGACTGTATGACTTTCAAGTAGGTGTGAAAGTAAAATTTGCTAAAAGGAAAAAATACAAAAAAAAGAGAATTGTCCCTAGAACTGAGATTGAAGAAAAATCCATCATAGTTTGGATTATGTTTTTAAAAAAGCCAAAAAACTAAAAGTTATGAAAATCTTTTTAATAGCAATTCCACAGAACACATCTGAAACATTTTTATGAGTGACAACATATGTTGTTTTGTGTATCATTCGACCGTTTCAACGATGCTTTCAATTGGGTTGATTACATTTTGTATTCTGCTTGATGCTGCTGGTAATCGTCGTCGTTTATTTGTTTTGCGTTCGGACTGACATTGATTAATATCAGTGATTGTTAATGGTCGTTTTCCATTAGTTGTAGCTGGAGATTGTAGCATGGACGGTGAAAACGGAACAGGTGGTGTTGTTTCATTGGTTGTGGCCATTGTTCGTGTTGCCATTGTCGCTTCTCTTGGACGTTTTTCAGTAAATGAAATGGATAATTGAGCTGACATACCACAATATATTTCTGGCAAATGCTTCACCGGAATTGTGTTGGTCATGAGCCCATTTGTTACTAAAACAAAGAGAAAAGGGTTTAGATATTGAAAAGCTGATTTTCTACGAGAAATTTTCTGAAACCTTAAAGACGTTCAGACTTTTGACAAAAATATTTTAGGAAAAAAATGTGAATTTTTTACCAGCGCTAAAGAATTTTATCCTGAAAATTCAGCACTTCTTAAACACCGAAATTTTCAATGAAAACAAATATTGCTGAAAGTCGCTTTGACAAAAAAAATTGGTAAGAAGTAGTGAATTACTATCAGAGAGAGAGTCGGATTTATTAACGACTGAATTTATAAAAACCACTCACTTTTTAAAAAATAATTCCACGCTGCCTCATGTACAGTACTGGGCATTATCCCGGGGTTATTCTTGGTTACCAGCATTTTCTCATCATTACCACTCACTTCTTGCTGATGTGTAGCCATGGGACGTGGTGATGAATCGACTGTAGCTTGAGATGAAGATGGCTGATTAGCGAGTTATTCAACGGTTGGTAATAGAAAATCAACCGTTGTCAATGGACTTGTAGCTAATGATTGCTGTTGTTGTATGTTGCCAGTTAGTTGAACTGGAAGATACGACTGGTGTGGAACAGTAGGTAAACGAAACGACGATAGAATTATAGGCAAAGTGACGGATTGTAAACGAGGTCGGATTAATGAACGAATCCGATTGTACAGTTTATTGGCTGCGATTGACAAGCTAAACAAGAAAAACTTCAATAGAGATGCTCAGATTTTTTACTTTTTTTGCATTGTCTTACTAAAAACTAAATTGCTGAACTCAATACCCTTTGCATGTCGCAGCACTGCAAAAAAGCAGATTGAAACCAAGTACTATCGGAATTTTTAAAGAAGGCCGGTGGAAGAAAAGCTTATAACGTTTGAATGGAAAGTCGTAGATACCTGCGGTTTTCACCATTCAATAGACGACAGTTGGGGGGCACATGCCAGCATGGAAAAGTGATAT